GATTTCTGCTAGCACATTCTTGTACCTGAGGGATATTTAACTCACAGATGAATATATATTCTGGAACAAAATAAAAAAAACAACCCACAACAAAACAAAACAAAAAAACCAAAACCCCAAAACCAGCCCCAAATGGTTTTACATTTACATTTTTCCTTGCAGTCAACCACATGGTCATTTATTAGTTCTAGGAAATAACTAGCAACACAGAATACAAACATTTATAGTTACAGAAAAGCTGTATTCTTCTCAATGCCTCTTCTCTCCTCTGTAGCACAAAGGGATGGAAAAGTAGAAAACTGCAAGAAATGTTTATCTTACCCTGGCTTAAGCCTCTTCAAAAACATGTAGGTCTGCTCATGCCTGTAGCCAGACCACCCCCTATTGAGAGGTTACTCTTATTTACATTGTTTAATCAAATTCAATTCCACAGAATAGGGACAAAAAGATCCAGTTGCGAGAGTAGTAATTCCCTTCAAAATCTATCACTCCTGTTCCTTTGCTGGTTATCAAGCGCTACTAAACAGATCTTCCTTTCCAGATAAACCCTTGAGGAACAAGAAGCTGAGAGAGAAATATATTGGAAAACCTCAACACAAGTACAATATACTCCTGCTAGGTTACAAACTGGGTAATTCTGAGTTATTCACAGTATTTTCACATCAGCTTTCTCAAGGGAAAACACTTACTGTGAGTCACGTCTGCTCCCATCTTCATCTGTTGTCTCAAGCACTGTTTTTCTTGCAGATTCACTGATTCCCCTACAAGATGTTGAAGAGCAAAACTTACTGAAAACAATACGGACTGTAAGAGTTTAAAGATTTATATACCCCAAATATTTACCTATTCAAAACTCCATCAGAGATTAGTGCTTCTTTTGGGTGGTAGTACTTGTAATATACATTTCGTACTACAGCATCTTGAAGAAAGAAAAAAATTAAGAAATTTACACCTTAGCTGATCAGTGTACTAGATACACCAATGAAACATGAGTTTAGCTCTTGGATTTCCCGAGTGTTTGCTTCTAACACCAGAAAGTTGACGCATGGCTCTCAAAAGGACCCAAATCAGCCTTCACTACTGTTTCCTTTTGGACATCCAGATTTAGAACAAGAATGTATCTGCAAGTTCAAATAAAAATGTGAAAAATAAGCACATCTCCTGCGTCTTCTGCAAAGCAGAAGAGGCAAAAGGATTCAGTAAAGAGTATGTATCAAGTTTTACAAGCAGCAGGGTGCTGGAACTAGATGATCTTGAAGGTCCCTTCTAATCCAAACCACTCTATGATTCTAAGTTAATTCTTTTTTTATACATCTTCCAAAAGCATGATGAATCAAACACTGTTGATGCAAAAAAAGGCTTACTCTAGAAATGCCACCAAAGACCCTGAAAATACTTTATGTACACTGAGATATAGTTGCTTTGTTTGGGTATTTTTCCATATTGGCAGTGGAAAAACTAATGAGTGGCATTCTATTGGTCTCCTAAAGAAAAGAGCCACTGTTTTTTCAGTGTGAGTGATTCAATCCAATAAAACAGATGGAAAAATATTTGAAATGAGAGGCTTTTTATCCAAGAAATGTCACTATAATTAATTTTTGTTAGTAAATACCATTAAATCTACAACTAGAACAAAGGAAGGAAGATGGCTATGTTATTAAGGCATTCTGCCCATGGAAAGCCCTTAGTGTGCTCCAGTATTACACTGCCAGGTATATCTAGATTTCAAGAAAAAGAATCTTAGACCAACAGGTACTTTGTGAGAGGGATCTGCCTGGCTTTCATCTACAAAGGCTGAACCTGCTCTTTAGATTTTGCTGAGGACAGATGAGCAAGAGCTATCAGTGAGCCCCATTACCATTATTGAAAACAATCCCATACTCTTCTAGCAGAAAGTTAATATTTGTGCCATATCGGGACTCGCCACCTTCTCTCAGCATCACCAGGATGGCTCCACCATCCTCCAGGAATTTCTTCAGAACAGAAAACTGGAAAACAGCAAAGAACAAACATGAAAAGCTACACAAAAGACTGCAGGAAGTTACAAGGAGAGGAGGGAAGGTGAATGATTCTGACGGCTTGCATTTCACTTATCCTGTGAGAAATTCATATTTCAGTTGGTGTAAATTCATTTAAAGCAGTACAGTGCAAATTCTTCTGGGTTGTTCTTTCTATTTTGCATTAAGCAAATCTTAAAACATACTTAATTTGCAGACAACTACTGACTTCTTACCTCAGCAGCACTGAACTTTAATCTTGGGCCTGCTGTAATCCACAATTTTACCCCAAACAGTTTCTCAGATGTGATCTCATCTTTTAAGCTGTGAATAAAGACATGCATTATTCTTGGATCTAATCCTGGACTGCATCTTTTCTGTCTTTATATAGCTGGTTTTTTTTTAAAGGACTGCCAAACACAAAGCAAATCATTTCAGTCACTTTGCACCTTTTTTTAAAGTTGACAAGCAAAACCAATCCTTACAAATTTCAACCCACTAAAAGGTAAAGCTTCTCTAACAAGGTACAGTGGCAGATCCAGTACTGGCATAAACTGCCACATCTGCTATTAAACCTGCCACCTAATGAGCTTCCTCTTATTTTTTATTTTTTGCTCTGGACACATTTTGTAGTGGACAGATAGGCAATATCATATGTACAAGGGCTGCTATGTTTTTATCTCAAAACCCCAAATCAAGATAGGCTTAAAACTTGTATCAGAAGTTGCACCCTTATAATTTACACTCCATCTCTTCCACAGATCATAGAATCCCAGCCTGGTTTGTGTTGGAAGGGACCTTAAAGCTTGTCCAGTTCCAACCCCTGCCATGGGCAGGGACCCCTTCCACTAGAGCAGCTTGCTCCAAGCCCCTGTGTCCAACCTGCCCTTGAACACTGCCAGGGATGGGGCAGCCACAGCTTCTCTGGGCACCCTGTGCCAGCGCCTCAGCACCCTCACAGGGAAGAGCTTCTGCCTAAGAGCTCATCTCAGTCTCCCCTCTGGCAGGTTCAAGCCACTCCCCTTGGCCTGTCCCTGCAGGCCCTTGTCCCAAGCCCCTCTCCAGCTTTCCTGCAGCCCCTTCAGGCACTGAAGCTGCTCTAAGGTCTCCCCTTGAGAAGCCTTCTCTTGTCCAGGCTGACCCAGCCCAGCTCTCTCAGCCTGGCTCCAGAGCAGAGCTGCCCCAGCCCTCTCAGCAGCTCCGTGGCTTCCTCTGGACTCGCTCCAGCAGCTCCACATCCCTCTTGTGCTGCTGCCCCAGAGCTGGATCAGGACTGCAGGGGGGGATTTCCCAAGAGAATAGCGGGGAAGAATCCCCTCCCAGAGATGCTGCTCACACTCTGGGGGTGCAGCCCAGAAGAGGGGGGCTTCTAGGCTCAAGCGCACAGTGAAGCCAGGTCATGGGGAGCTTGTTATTGACCAACACCCCCAAGTCCTTCTCCTCAGTGCGGCTCCATTCAGTGTTCCGCAGCGTTTGTCTGTGCTTGGGACTCACCCAACTCGGGGGCAGGACCAGATACGATAGCTGGAAGCTCCAAACTCATCTATGCACAAGGGAATTGCAGCTAATGCCAGAGAGCGCAATCACTGCAAAACCCGATCTTTGCTTATGACGCAACCCGAAACTATTCGGGCACCCAAAAACCATCACATACATCTTGGGATCTCTGCCGGTAAACTAGGCCGGTGGGGTGAGGCGCCCAACCCCTTGCCTCAGGTGCAGCCCATCAGCTGAGCTGGTCACGACACTGCCCCTCACCTCTGAACCTTCCAGTTACCGCGAAGCCTTTTCCGCAGGGATTTGTAGCCGCTGGCGAGAGTGAAAGCCTCCCCTTTGGACGCATTGAAGACGATGGCGTTCCGGAGGCCCCCCTCCATGTGGCGACCCGGGGCTACCACAGGGTGCACCGAAGGACGGCAGCTCCGGCCACGTGAAGTGAAGGGAAGTGAAGGGAAGGGAACCCAACCCGAGCCCCCGAGCCCGCGCTCCAGACGCGGGCAGCGCACACCCGCCACCCCCAACCACCGCGCTCCACCCGGCAACGCGGGACAGCGGAGGCGCATGCGCCGAGTGCATCACCCCGAACGCGGGAGCGCTACCTCGGATTGCTCCATTCCCCGGCGGGGGGGGGGGCGGGACGGTACCACTGCGGCAGGCTGGGAGGGAAGCGGGCCTCCGCGCACCGCCCCGCGGGGCCGGGCACTTGCCCCAGGTGCCCCCCGCCTCTAGGTACCGTCAGGCTGATCCCGGCTCCGGGAAGGGCGGAGCGCTGGCCGCTGAGCGCTTGGGGTCAGCTCCCGAGCAGCCGGCCCCTAACCCCTCAAGCAGCTGCGCCCTCCAGCAGCAAGCTGCTGGGCCACAGTACCAGCCAAGCCCCGTGCTGAGAGCCTGAAATGGGGATGCTTCAGACATTTAAGCTGAACAAGGCCCCGCGACTCCGCGTGCAGGCACGGGTCAGGCTACAGCCGCGCTACAGCACAGCGGGAATCCCACCGCTGCCCTCAGCCCTTCCTTACACGCGAGCAGCGGAAGGACAGGCGTGTGTGCGCTTTAATACAAACCACAGCGTGGTGCAGGTGCCTGCAGAAGGTACAAGGTAACCGGTAAAACAAACGACTGCTGCAGCACAAGCTTAACAGCATGAGCATCGCACAGCTTGTAGGAAACCCTGTGCTTGGGCTCATGATGCCATGAGCAGCTTACAGCTGATGGAGCTCATGAGCTTCTCCAACCCACAGCAACAGAACACCTTAAAAAAAAAAAAAGGTCAAAAGTGACATTGAGTGAGTACACCAGCATTTAAATTAAGGAAAAATAAATAACGTGTTTGTTCTGCATCAGTGGCATGTTCAGATGGGCACCAGAGTGTGCAGGGTCTCATCAACATGCGCTGTCCTCTGCTCCACCATGCTTCAGGTCATGCTTGTTGCAGTAGTGGTTGTGTGCCTCAGGCCTGTCTGCTGTGAAAGAAGTCCCCATCCCAAGCCACGTTTGGCCACAAGGTTATTTCTGTTTTTTTTTTTCTAAGCAGCTCCGCCCTTTCCTCATCTGGGCTTTTTCTCCCACCAACTGGCTTCTACTTAACAGCCTCATGGTTGCTTCTGCACAGTCCACTTAAAGGAAAGAAGCCAGAGCTCTTGGTAGCGTGAAGAGTTTTCCTCAACTGCTGGGGAGGAGAGGGGGAACTCCTCTGACACAGGTTAGTGCCACACAAAAGATTAAAAAAAAAGTTAAGAGTGGCCAGTTTCAGGCACACGGCTGTTATGTGAGTGATGGCACATACCCCTACCAGAAATACAACCACAGAATGAATACAGTTCTGCCAACTAGCACAAGACAGTCTAGGGGGAAATTATACTAACCAGTGTCTCTCTTTCCCTACCAGGGAGGAAACATTCAGAGAGAAATTCAAACAGCAAAAGTTAAGAGTTAACAGTTCCATCCCAGCCAGTTAGTGTGTTAGTCCCAATTTCCTTAACCATGAGCAAAAGGACAGTACCAAAACCAAGAAAAGCCACACCCACAACCCCCCCCAACCCACAAACAAAACCAACACCCCCCACACATAAAACCCATTCAGTTAAAAAAAAAAAAAAATCTGACTTCTCAAAGCCTTTGTAAAACCTAGATGCCCTCTTCAGCTGGTGCATAAGAAAATCCTAAAAACGCATCTGAGGCACTGGAGGTGCTGGCTGCTAAGTCAGGCGTGTGGGTGATGGAGGTGGAGATGGCTTCTTGGGTGAATTCTGGATCGAAGTGTCGCAGATCAGCTGGACCAGCCTAAGCCAAGGAACAGACACACACAGTCACTTCAAGTGTGCAGACCCCAACCAGCCACTTGTATTCAGTCTAACACAGCTGCTCTTCCAAGGGAGTCAGCACCTCTGCATCTACAGTTCCCAACCTGGGATTCCTTTTGTACTACTATAACAAATACCAAAAGAAATACTCACCACATTGGGGTTGAATGGAGGAGTTATCCTCTTGTGGCACAAGTCATCCCAGTTTATTGGGCTGAAGAATACATGATTCTTTATCTCAAGCTGCATATAAAGTAAAGGGTGAAAAGTCAGTCTTCTGCCAACCCTTCTTTTTCAGCACCTGCTAGCTGGTTTCATAGGATTAAGTGGTTGAAGCTACTACATATCTGCATAAGGACCATATAGCAAATTCTTAACACATAAGGGTCGTGGTCCAGTAATCCCTTGAAGGGAGATGACCATCACACATAGGTGTCATAGTTTGCAACCATATCTTTCCCTTTGGAAATCCAAGTCAAGCCCATACATTCTTCAGAGGCTGAAGAGATATCAAACTGCATGGAACGCTTTTTCCAAGGTAGTGCTGTTGTCATGAAAGAAAGGCTCAGAATAGAAAGGTTTCCTACCCATCCTCCCTCCTGATCATAATGGAGGCCACCTACGAAATCTGACTTGGCACCCAGCCTCCTCTTCTGGTCCTTGTGGAGAAGTCCCTGGAGAATGTCACAAGCTGCCACAGTCTTACTTCCTTGGATCTGGAGTGGCTTGTGCAGAATGTTGTCATACATCTGAGACACATCCCGGCTGTAAAAAGGAGGCTAATTTGACAGAGATGAGAAGCAGCCATGCGAAACATGAGCTACTGTAATGAATGGCAGGTCAAAGCAAGTCCTGCAGCAAGCAGATGAGGGAGACCTGCCATACCACTGTTCAGAGGGGCAATGGTGTGCTGAACTATGCCATCTAACTCTGGATTCAGTTGTCTGTGACAGGTACCATGTGAACATCAGACCAACCTCGCACCACTACTTTCAAAATTAATTTCTCCACCATAGAGAAATTCTCACCAGGGGGATTCCCAGCCCATGGCAGGGGGTTGGAACTGGATGATCTTAAGGTCCCTTCCAACCCTAACCGTTCTATGACTCTATGTAAAGTAAAAACAGATTGCTTCCAAACTTACCAATCCAAACAGCATTTCATAGAGGACAGCTCCTAGGCACCACCAGTCTACTGTCCTGTCATACGGCTGCTTCTTTAGCACCTCAGGAGCCAGGTACTAAGAAGAGTCGGCAGCAAATATTTTAGTCAGCTTACAAAGGAGGGGATTTGTCCTCGTAAGTATGCAAACCTGACTGCAGTTCAAGCTCAGCAAATGCATTAGGAAATACACAGATCCATATACTGCTATGCTTTGATATATTCTCCACTTGCTTCGGAGCAGAGTTTGAAAGCTACCTACCAAACCCCGCAAAGTTTTTATGGGTTACAGAAGGTTTTTTTCCTGTAGAGGATTTGTACAAGGATTTGCCGCGCACCACAACTAACCATCAAACCCATCCTGCACTAGCACGTTACACCTTTAGGAGGCTCCCGTGGTTTTGAGAAGGCTGCAGTTTGCAGTCCCCTTAAGACTGTCGAAAGCAGCAAAACTGCCAGCAACCACTACCAAGAGCAACAGACAAAAACTGAAGCAGCACGTTGAGCCTCGTCTCCCACAGGATTATCTTTGTATACTAATCAGGCTCCCACCAAAAAACACATCCCTCCCACCCCCCCAAAAAAAACACAACGAAAAAACCAACAACCCCCCAAAACCAAGCCAAACAAACCCCCCACATGACAAACAAAGGAATGCAGGGCCAGGCCAAAGGGAATGGCTTGAACCTGCCAGAGGGGAGACTGAGATGAGCTCTTAGGCAGAAGCTCTTCCCTAGGAGGGTGCTGAGACACTGGCACAGGGTACCCAGAGAAGCTGTGGCTGCCCCATCCCTGGCAGTGCTCCAGGCCAGGTTGGACACAGGGGCTTGGAGCAAGCTGCTCTGCTGGAAAGGGTCCCTGCCCATGGCAGGAGTTGGAACTGGAGGAGCTTTAAGGTCCCTTCCAACACAAACCAGTCTCCAATTCTGTATGATTTTATTGAAACAGTCCTGCTTGGTTCAGGCCTTGCTATTGTACAAGTGGGTCCATACTGAAAGCCAAGGGCTACCACCAGGAGATTCCTGCCCATTCTACTCAGCTTGAATACTGGAAGGTACCTTGTTTACAGACCCTTCTTTATGCTGTCTGAGGAAGTACAGCATAACAGCTATATTACCTAGGCCAAAACACTACCAAAATCCCCAGCTCAGTAAACAGCAGGAAAAAAAAAAAAAAAAACTCACAAGAAGCCAAATCTGAGATAGGTTTTAGCAAACCCTAACTGAGGTGTGTTGGAGAAAAGGCATTTCCTCCCCTCCTCTCTGAGCAGTGTCCACATTCCAGATAAGAGCCTGGTACTCTCCTCTGCACAGGGTGTTTTGCAGCTCCTGCATACCAATGACAAACAGGAGAGCACAACAAGGTCCTATGTGTGCCAGTACCAACCGGCTCCCTGTTCTGCAGCTCCAGGGTATCAGATCAAGTAAACAGCCGGCTTACAGGCTTGCTCATGGGCTCCCAGGGTCAAGGCTGTCTCCGCAGCCACCTCAAACACCCCCAGTTTCACAAGACTGGCCCTTTCCAATGCAGGGTGCCCTACCCCGACAGCACAGTTGTCACAGGTAAAACTGCTGAGGCCTTATCTGAACTCCAGCTTCAGGCTGACAACCTCAAAGAGCCCACAATAGTCTAATTCACAGAGCCCATATTTTGTGATGCTGAGCACCCATGCAAGTCAGACCCAGAGCAGCAAGTCTCTGAAGGCTTTCAGCCCCAGGTCACAGAGAAACCCCAGCACATGCTGTACCTCAGGAGTGCCACAAAAAGTAGAAGTTGTCTCCTCTTGCTCCATTCCTTCTTTACAGAGTCCAAAGTCTGTCAATACTATGTGTCCCTAGAAAAGAGAGAGGTATTTTGGCTTGGCCTTCTCTAGAGAAGAGACAGGATTGCCACACATTTGCCTTCACGTTGCATTTCATGTATGTTTTGATTCCCCACTGCTCATCTGCTTCCCCTCCCTCACCTTCTCGACATCTTGTAACACAAGTATGGCAGTTGACAGAGAAAGTTGAACCTAGATTAATTTATTTGTCTACAACTGTATAGCTACGAGGAGATCCAGCACTGCAGTGCTTTGCCCCTGCTTTATCCCAGAGCCAGTTTGTATAGCAATCACCACCAGCATAGCAGCAGTGACATGCTCTTAGCATCCCAATCCTTGCCCACAAGTCAGGCCCCAGCTTTTGGGAGTAAGCTGTGGGCCCTGGGTGCACAGTTCTGTGGAGCGGAGGCTCACCCCCTTCTGCAGGACCTGCACAGAAGGGCAGTGGTGCATGCATACAGAATACATGCAGTGAAGTGAGCTACAGCCCAGCTTGCAGGACCATGCTCATCTGTTTATAGTCCTGATGGTTTTAAAGCCAGAAGGCCGGCAGCACAATCTGTGAATATACCTGGCAATCCAGGAGAATGTTCTCAGGTTTTAAGTCCCTGCAAGACAAAAAAATGCTGTTTGAGCAGATTTGTCCAGATATTTAAAGAAGCCAGATCTGAAACAGCATCAGCTAAGAACAGGAGCTAACAAAACTCCCCAGTCCAGTTCACCACAGTGTTCCCCAAGTATGGACTCCCATCACTGCTAGGTATCAATACAGACACATGCAAACATAGCAAGACCCTGTCATACAGGATCAGGTTTTAGCCTGTATTATCTATGCATAAATTGTTACAGTGACAAATTCTTGCTTATTGAGCCAGGTTTATTCTAGATCTCTACACTTCACTGTTCTCTCTCCTTTTCACTATCAGGCTAGAAATATTTATTGCCCATCAGACCCATGCAGGCAGCACCCCTCTTGCAGGATAAAGTGCCAACAGCACTATCTTGTCAGGATAGTTGATTTTCCAGCAGTTCCAGTCCTGCATTTTGCAGGGCCGTAGTGACTCCTTTTTCCTCCCTAGCACTGCACACAGCTGGGCTGAGCAGAGTTGGTGCCCATGTTCTCCCTGGCAGCACCTTACCTGTAAATGATGTTTAAGGAATGCAGGTATCCAATTGCACTAGCAACTTCTGCAGCATAGAATCGGGCCCGGGGTTCACGGAAACAGCGCTCCCTTTGCAAGTGGAAGAAAAGCTACAGGCAGATGAGAGAGTGGATCATTTCTTCTCTAAAAAACCTGAACAATACCTGGAGCAAGCCTGAAACCCAGCTACTCAAGTGAAAACTGATTTGCAGCAAGTAGCACATGAACAGCACCAAATAAGCCCAAACCAAGTGACTTTAAGCAATCTAAACACCCTTCTAGAAATTGCTTCATTTGTCTTCTTCTCAATTAAGAGCTCATTCCCCCACAAACAGTCATCTGCTGATTTAATTAAGCTTCCTAGCAGCCACAGGCTGATTATAGTGCTAGTATGGCCATGAGAAGTGGTGCATGCACAGAACTAAATCTGTTAAGATCCTCCATACAAGTTATCTTTGGGCAAGACATCTGTGTTAACATTATCTCACAGCCAGTTTCAGGTATCACAAGGAAAAAAAAAAAACCCTGAAAAAAAGTTTTTACAGGACAAAAAAAGAAATTTAGCAAACTGCAGTGGCATCACCCAAGCATTAGACTAGGATCCAGAGCTGGCCCACAAGTGGATTTTGCCTGGAGCTCATCAGCATCAGTATTTTCCATATTCTCCATAGGATTTTAAAGCATCCCTAACAGTCTCTTTTCTCAGTATCCTTTATCCTTGCCTTGGATTCAGGTCATAGGCAGCAAGATACCACACAATTTACAAGTGAGATAGTGTCCAGGGTTTAGCTGTAAGTTATTTTTCTCCTTCCTAGTAACTGGTGCAGTGCTGTGTTTTCAACTTCAGTCTGAGAACAATGCTGGTAGCACACTGATGTTTTAGTTGTTGCTCAGTAGCGCTTACCCTGATCAAGGACTTTTCAGTCTCATGCTCTGCCAGTGAGAACGGGCATGGGAAGCCAGAAGGAAGCAGACGCAGGACAGCTGACCCAAACTAGCCAAAGCCATATTCTATACCACAGCACGTCATGTCCAGGACAGAAATGGGGGCGAGTTACCCGGAAGGCCCAGATCACTGCTAGAGTCGGTCTGGGTATTGGTTGGCGGGTGCTGAGCAATTGTATTGGGCATCACTTGTGTTTATTCTTTTCCCCTTTTAGTTTCATATTCTCTCCCCTTGTTATTTCCCTTATTATTGGTTGTGTTATACCTTAGTTACCGGTCTGTGCTTATCTCAACCCGTGGGAGTTACATTCTTTCCATTCTCCTCTCTATCCCTCTGGGAGCAGGGGGAAAGAAGGGGGAGAGTGAGCGAGCGGCTGCATAGTTCTGAGTTACTGTCTGGGCTTCAACCAAGACAGATAGCATACCACTACTCCTGGCTTGTTCTTGGTAGCAGTTAAAGGAACACTGTACTTTAATATCATTATCTTGTGACAAGAAACAGTTTTAGGCAATATAGCAGCATGTTTGGGAAGGATCAAGGATTGAAATAAAGCCTGTAAGTGCACTCACCTCTCCTCCATTTACATAGTCAAGCACAAAGTAAAGCTTCTCCGAGGTCTGGAAAGAGTAATGGAGTCCCACAAGGAAGGGGTGCTTGACATTTTTCAGGAGCACATTGCGTTCTGCCATGATGTGGGTTTGCTATCAAAAAGCAGGCATGGCATTAGAGTTTCAGGCAAGGGTCCAGTCTGCCATAGGGGCTCACTGCTGTTTTCAAAACATGGAAGTTTCAGCCCCAGGAAAGGAACTGCTCTCTGCTGTCTGACCTGCATCATCTCAGTTCTTTCCATGATCCCGTGGCACAGAGAAATGCATGTTTAGCCTGTGAGTTGTCTACATGAATACCAGCCACAAGATACCTCAGTTGCATTACCAGGATGGCTCATATCCTGACCACTATTTACAGAAGTAGCCAAGGAGAGCTGACATACCTCCTTTTTCTTTAGGATGGTTTTCTTATGCAAGACTTTCACTGCATAAAAAGTCCCATCACACTTGCGTTTCGCCAGAAGAACCTGCAACAGAAGGTCCTGTTAATAGATTTCAGTCTCACCTTCTGTTGGGTTAGTGCTTCCTCATTAGCTCCCCACTTGTGTGAGTGACTATACACAGAATACAGCTTCAGAGGGTCAAGTACAAAGTTTTAAAGACATAGCTCCAGTCCTCCAATTTCCCAGCACTTTCTCACTGCCAGAAGAGAGTTCATGACACATCCACATACACCTTTTACTTATCTAGTAGAAAATAGTTTTGGAGCATCTGCAGACAGCCCTATTTAAAATGAATCCTTGCTATCTCAAAGTACAGATTTGCCTGGAGAATTTTTGCTAGCTGAGCAAGTTTGAAGCTTATTTTGAATCAAGTACTGCTCCTTGCCATCACCACCCTGAGCATAAGATACCTCACACTTGTGTCCTTATGGAGGTTGCAGGACAGCACAAAGAATGGACTATGAAGACTCTTATCTCCAGTCTCTTTTGTTCCCAGTCCCACTCAGAACAAGCTCTTCAGGAGAGGTACAAGCAAAGGACACAGCTAGAAACTCCTTCAGCAAGAAAGTTCTTTCTAAATCACCTCTAAAGAGCTCCAGCCCACCTGTACAAACCCACTTACTTTTCCAAAGCTTCCTTTGCCAATAACCTTCAGGAAGTCAAAGTCTGTTGGTTTGGCACTGTCGGTCAAGAAAGAAACGAGTTAATGTTTCTGGGAGAGAAATATGCAACAGCAACACTGCCATCAGGGCAGAGTTCCTTTTAGGAACCACCAGTGTTTGTGGAAGGGATTAAAGGGCACCAGATGGGCGACCCTAATCTGCGGCCAGCACTGGATTCACACTGCCTATATCAGTGCAGCCAGCAGAGGGTGAGCAACCCCTCAACCTGCTGCTGAGCACTGCAGGAGAGAAAAGCACCTGTGGGACCAAGTGACACCTCTACAGGGGACAGAGTTTATCCCTGTTTCTAGAGAAATGTAGTCATGGAGCCAGCAGGGGTGAGGAAGATCTTCCCTTACTACCTCTGAAGAGATACAGAACAAGGGGCTGCAGACTTGGACAAGACAATTATGATAACAGAGACCAGCTATAGCTGAATGTCTTGAAAGCTAATGCATTGCTGATACACATGGTATTAAAAGCCAAGTAATGCAATTGTTAAGATTTTGCAGACACCACCCATGCAAGACGCAGGGGCCAACTACATTCCCCTGCCAGATCTCTTCACTGCATGCCCCACACCCTACCTGGCTTTCGCAGGGAGCTTACTTTGGGTTAGCGGAAGGTCCAAGGTTGATGTTGTCAGTTGGTGTTGGAGGCTAGAGAGGATAACAATAATATTAGTCACAAGGACAATGCAGCAGGTTGTGCTTTCCTTCCCTCAAAACAGTATCACTTGCAAAGTTATTAAATACCCATTAGCAAGAGGCACAGCGGATGCTTTGGCAACTGAAGTGAGGGGGAAGGGAGAACAAAGCTATGTGCTAAAGCTGTATCATTCCCAAGCTGGAAGCTTTACTAAGCTAGAGTATGTGCTGAAGTCCTCATCCCATACTTGCACAAATAAAAGCTACTAAGCAACTGCTTGGCCCCAACTTCAGGTTTTTAGGACCTGTTGTGCTGTGACAGAGGAAAGCCACTGTGGGTCTCGGCTGCTCACCACAGCACTGAGACTACAAGCCATTCCCTACTGGCTGGGCTAAGCAAGAAGTCCTCTGCACAGCTCATAGAGGAACACTCCTGCATCAGGACATGAGCATTGCCTTCAGACCCTGCAGCCCTCTGCCCACTCCTGCTGAGCCCCAAAACTGCCAGGTCTGGAGCCTTGGAAGTGGCATTATGCACACCTAGCACCACACAGATGCAGCCTCTCTCTTCCCAGTGAGAACAGTACATACACACATGGTCTTCCTCCTCTCCCTGCCCCCCAGGAATCTTCCCCTCCCCAGACTCTGGGAGCATTTTTCCTTGTCCAAAAGGCTATATAGGTCCTCTCTGCTCTCATTTTACCTCCACCCAGCATAATCCACAGGGACTAGGCAGCAGCAAGACTCTTGGCAGGCTAACACAGGCTCTCCTCCTTGCTTTTCTCCTACAGTCACTAACCCCTCTGCATCCCCAAGGTGAAGACTTGCGGGCTCAGAGCTATGATCTCACCTGGGTGCTTTTATCTGGGCTCCGGGAGCGATCCATTAAAAAGGCAACTCTTTCAGCACTTGGGAAAAGAAGAGCAAGCCAATATTGAAAACAAAATCCAAGAGAGAAACTGCTCCCCTCCATCACAGGATACCTCAGTAGAGACCCCCAGCTACCCCTGTGGTAGCACTGCTGCTCCTAAGGGGTGAGGATGCACATGCTCTGGGGGAGACAGGGAACAGTGGATACACACATGCTGACAGGAGGCTGGAGTGTGAACAAGCAAAAGCATATTAGATGCCACAGTTAGTCCTTGATTTGCAATAGCAGAAACTGGTCAGAGAGCTAACACATGAAAAGCAGCACAGCCCCAGGGCCAGAGAAGGTTGTAGCTCTCCTGGATGGGACAGGCCCCTCTCGAGGCAGATGCAGCCCCTGTCCCAGTGCACAGAGATCCCGCTGCTCCCAGCCCTGCCACCCAGTGAGTGTCCCACAGGGCATTCAGGGGGATCCAGCCAGGTCCGACCACCGCACCCCCAGGCTGGCAGCAGCTGGGGGCCATTCCCCCACCCAGGGCAGACCACGTCTGGCTGGGGCTGTTGACAGCCCAGAGAAGAGGCGCTGGCCATACCGGTGGAGGCATTAAAGCACAGTGCTCTCATCTACCCAGTGCAGCTGCTGCTGGAGCAGTTGGACTGGAACAACACTTGGCAGTTCAGATTTGACCTGCTCCAGCATCAGTGAGGAGAGGTGGGTCCTGCCACCCCAGGGCTTCCTCCCTTTAAGGGCTCCCCCCCAACTCCTTGCAAAAGCCAGGATTAGAGGTGACGGGGGGGGGGGGGGGGGGGGGTGTCCAGGGAAAGAAAACCCCACACACTGCTCCCTTCTCCCCTGCCCCAGAGCTTTGTCCATTGTCCCTCAGCCACACAAAGCTCCCATACACAGCAGGGATACTCTGAAAGCTCACACTCCTCTGTCTGCCCCCTCCAAAAAGGGGTCCTGAAGATGCCACCAGCCTCCCCTCATCTCACCTGTGGGTGCTCCCTCTCTGCACCCCCATGCACAGACCCCAGGCCATCCCAGAGCCCCCTCGTTGGTGGCCAGGCTGGCAGCAGGCACTGGCAGCTGTCCCCAGGCACTGCCCACATCTGCCTTGTGCCAGGCAGCTCCATCCACCGCCAAGCCAGCGCAGGGGCTATCGGGCTGAGCTTTTAAAGGGCTCTCATCCCTGGAAGGCTTTCGTACTCACTATGAGCAGAGCCTGGAGCCGGAGGCCTTGATGGTTTGTCCTATCCTCTCCCGGCCGTGCTTGATGAGTTCTGTAAGGAAAGTTGGAGCACCAACTCCGGTTAGCTGGCAGCGCAATCACAAGTGCACAGAGACACGTTTGTTCTTCACTGACCTTGCTTTTCTCTTCACAGCTACCCTCCTCCCCCTTCCACTAAAGTACCAAAATAACCAGGAAATTATAGGAACCAGGACAGCTCCCCTCCCAGCCCCACCAGGAGCCCTCAATAGCTCGCAGGATGGGGATCAGTGCCGCAAAACAGTCTCTCCTGTGGCAGAGGGAACTTGGGCTAAAGGGCCACTGCTGCCTCCCTGAGCCACCTCGGGTCTCCCGGGGGGACAAGGAGAGTGCTCACAAGGATCATGTACCAGGCTAGTCACACACTTGGCACATCCCCTGCCCCTTTCATTCAGGACTCTGGGAGTAATTAGGGACATGAACGAAACCTTTCAGGGCCCTGCAGGAGGTAAGCCAGCACACACACACCACAACAAGGAACTGACTTGCCCGAGGGCACATAGCCAGAGGCAGAAGCTGGGATTCCCACCGTAGAGCATCTCTTCTGCTCAGATGTGCAGGCAGTTGCCACCAACCATTGTCATCATCACCACTGCCTCCTTCAGAGAGAGTCAAAGTCCTGATCCTGCTCCCGACTGCACAGGCTGAGCAAGAGAGAAGCTTGAGAAGTGCAGCCTGTACAGGGGGGTTCCTGGGTTTGGTTGGAACTAGATAAAAAACGCCAAGACTCATTTTCACTCCCTGGCTCTGCCCTAGTTTTGCTACTGGAAGGAAAGAATCAAAACATTCACAGAAATAGGAAACATGCTCCCCACCTTCATCCCCCTAAAAAAAAAAGCGGGGGGTGGGGGTGGGGCCTTTACACACAAGTTGTAATCCTGCAGTAGCTCTTCTACAGACCAAGGAACCGCAGGCACCAACTGCCAGACCCTATCTCCCCAGGCAAGGGGCTCGTAGAACAAGAAGTTTCCAGGTGAACACAAGCCCATTTACAGAGCTCTTCCTGTTCCTAGGATCTGCAAGATGGAGGGACCTGCACTCCAGAGAGCCACTAAGCCAGGCAGCACCAGCAGCTTCAGGATCTGTGTGCAGATCTGACAAGGAGCCAAAAAACAGGCTGTAGGTTTAGAGTTTCTGAATGGACATGAAAGGGAAAGCAGGAATTCAAAGAAAAGCCACAAAGCATTCAGTGAGAGTTTATAATATCAGGCTTGTCTGAGATCCTGCCTTTGCCCTGCAGCAGATATAGAAACTTGCCCTAGCAGGGACACATGCAGGCAGCGCCCAGACAGACCAACTCCATCTCCTCCCATTGGGTATAGTCCTTATTTCCCTGAGAGTCTGGCTCACTGGCTGAAGGTCATCCAGTGCCTGCCTTGGGGCTGTAGGTATCCCACAGGCTGCTGGGCAGGCTGGCCACAACCATGGTCACCGCAGAGAGACATCAGCCATGCTTCCCAAAGCAGGCAGCACTCACTCAAGGCTCAGTGCTGGGCAGGAGGGTGGCACAAGCGATGGCCAGGGGTACACAGGGACATGTGGAACAACACCCAAGGTGCAAGTGGCAGCACCATTTAGAGGGGTGAGGGCTCCCACCCCTGCCCAAGGCCATCTCTGCTTAGCAGCCCAACCAAGCCTGCACAGTTCAACACTTCATCTCACTCCATACATGCAGCTCCATCAGCTAATGCAGCCTGTTCACTCCAAATCTGAACTCCCACAAGCTCAGCTTTAGCTTGCTGCTACTGACACTGTTCTGCTCCTAGATTCAGGGAAAATAATGGCTTGGGCACAGGTGGATATCTTGGGCAGGATGTGGACAAGCCAAAAAAACACATCAATCTGTGCTCAGTGCAGAATGCAGGACAAGTCCCAACTTGCTCTGAGGGGCTTGGACCAGCAAGCTTGGGCCTGCAGCCCCACAGGGGCTTTTCCCAGTACCGCAGCCTAGCAGCCCATCCATGCTTCCCTCCAGCAGCCCCATTCTGCTCCATTCTTGGTCCCTGCTGCCCAAGAGCAGCATTTTCCAACAAATGCTATTTCATTAAATGTACTTGCTCTGGGGTGAGAGTCTCTTTCTGTACCAAGCACATTTTTAGGATATGTATGTCCCCATCCCTTATCATTTTCTATTCAGGCCCAGAGCCTCCTTCCCCAGCCTGAGTCCACCTTCAAAGCCAAGTAAGTTTCTGGTTTAAATCTCCCAAGCAATCGAATAAGCTTTTCCTTATCACTAACAAACGGTACTCTCTAAATACAAAGATTTCCCGAGTGCACACACACTGAACAACAGAATCAGAAATAGGTCATGAATATACGCTGGAATCCTTGGTTATCCATGCCTGGCTGCATCCCTCCTTGTGCTTGCTGGGGTGGCAGGGATGCTCCAAGCATGACCAGGGCCACAGAGAGCATCAGCGAGTGTGTCTAGGAGTTCTCTGATATGAGGTAACTGTTACACACCAGGAACACAAACTATCACATCCCACACCCCCTCCTCAAAGACCATTTCACTCCCAACACCTTGACCAGAGGCATCTCCCCAGCAGCAGGCAACCACTCACACAATATAAAGCAGCTACTTACAAGTTGGAGCAATTACTGCAGCTAAAATCTTCCCCACACCAAACATCCCTCAGTAACATACATTTTCTTCCCAGCACAGCACAAGCAGCTCCCTCTTCCTTCAACAATTCTGCCAGTGGTGACCCACATTCCCATGCCAGCCCAGCACTATTTGCTGCAAACACATTACTAATGCAGTGCGTACCTTGCACGGAGAGGCAACCTCATAGACTCGTCATCTGCAAGCTGCCTCCCACCCTCCTCCCTGATGTCACTGCTCTCAGCATCGTTTCCTACCTAACCTAGACTGCAAACCCCTCCAAGCAAGTGCCTCATCCTCTCCCACTCTGGGAAGGGCTAGTTACCAGCATGGAGAGGCAAGGAGACCAGGCAGACTGTCACTGGGACAGCAAGTAATGCTTTGGAGGAAGCACAGGTTTTGGAATGGCAAGATTGAGAGAGAAGCACTAAGGCAGCCCACAGCTTTCATCCAGCCCAGGGGCTGCAGGCAGCATATAGGGGAGACACCCCAGTTCCAGCTCAGATGAGGAGCACAAGGGAAGGTGGAAAAGAGGACTTATATACACAGGCTTTTACTGGCCAAAAATACCCCCAAAACTCAAGCTTTTCCTTGCTAAAGATCTAAGGGGTAACTCCAGGCCCACTCAACTCCATTTTCATAGAGCCCTGGAATAGCTTGTGTTGGAAGGGACCTTAAAGCTCATCCAGCTCCAACTCCTCCCACGGGCAGGGACACCTTCCACCAGAGCAGCTTGCTCCAAGCCCCTGTGTCCAACCTGCCCTTGAACACTGCCAGGGATGGGGCAGCCACAGCTTCTCTGGGCACCCTGGGCCAGCGCCTCAGCACCCTCACAGGGAAGAGCTTCTGCCTAAGAGCTCATCTCAGTCTCCCCTCTGGCAGGTTAAAGCCATTCCCCTTGGCCTGTCCCTACAGGCCCTTGTCCCAAGCCCCTCTCCAGCTTTCCTGCAGCCCCTTTAGGCACTGGAGCTGCTCTGAGGTCTCCCCTTGAGGAGCCTTCTCTTCTCCAGGCTGCCCCAGCCCAGCTCTCTCAGCCTGGCTCCAGAGCAGAGCTGCTCCAGCTCTCACAGCAGCTCCATGGCCTCCTCTGGCCTTGCTCCAACATTTTTGTATCCACTGGGACACTACAGCACACAGCAAGTCAATAAAAAGTCAGGAAAGATTTTAAAGAGCTTCTCCACTTGTGGAAGCTTTCTTAGCTGCCCCCCACAGAGCTCTTGGCTCATCCCATTTTCTCATGGAGATCTTTTCCCCTATACCCCAAGGGCTCTGCAAACCCCAGACTACCAGCCCCAGCAATAGCCAAGCTGGAGCTCACAAACAACTAACCCTCCAGATTTCAGAGAAGAACCCCATGCAGAGCTGGAAGACGGCAGCAGGTGGGTAAAGCTCACAACACATCGCAGAAAAGTAACCCCATGAAAACAGAAAAGAAAGCATCAAACACACCTGGGAGCACATCCACCAGCAAACACTGTGTCCTGAAGCATGGGAAGCAGTGCACAGCCAGTGAGCACAGGGACCCCTCCTCCCCAACACTGCCCATCCTTGCACCGGCCCACCCTGCTGCCGACAGCCTTGACACACCAGGAACCCAAGGCTCTTTCCTGACTCTCAGAGGGGAATAGCTTTGCTTCCTGCAGCACTTCATTTAGTCCACAGCACTCCCTCAAACACACAATACCACTGCTGCTGGCTCATGGCAGCCCTTTAAAGAGAGCAGGAAAAGCACATCAGCTGTGGAAAAAGAAGAGACACCTGCTAGATACACCCAAGGAGTGACAATTGGAGGGAGGGAGGAAGGAATGGTTTTGGATGAGGAGGGAAGGGTGCAGGTGGTGGGAAGGAGCAGGCACCTCAGGGGTGCAGGACAATTTCTGACATGTCAGTAAGCTGGAAATTTTTCCCGTCCTGTGGTTTGGAGGAAGGTCAGAACTGTTTCTTGGTTCAGGTCAAACCCAGAAGAAGCTGCTCCTTCCAGTGTCCTTCACCGACCCAGGAAGACAGCAGCCCAGGGTAGACAGGCTGGTGCATATTAAATGCAAACATAAACATGGGTGGAAGGGAAAACCTGATGCTGGAGGCATGCGGTGGTTTGAGAGAACAGAGACTAAGCTTCGAGCAAAAGGAGGTGTCCGAGAAAGGCTGGTGTCTTCTCCCTCCTTGTTAAAAGTAAAGCAGTTGCTTTTTGGTTCCATTGTTGTTTCCTGTAAATTCCGCCTGCACACAGGTGCAGCGGGGGAAAGCTTGTGGAGTGAGTGCAGTGGGAGGTGCGAGTGGGGAAGGCAGAGGTGTGGGCAGCCCTCCCTGCCATAGCACAGGTCCTTGACCCAGGACTGCAGCTGGCAGGAGAAAACTATCTCAAACACTTGATGTGCTCATTGCCATGCATAATAAGGGAGAGGAAGCAGCAAGTTGCTTGAAATGTCATTCTCTCTCAGGTTAAAGCCTGAGGTTTTTCCTCAGCCAAAAAACTCAAGCTATGAGGATCATCAGCTTTTAAAAATATCTCCTATTATGTTTTTATTTTCTCTAGTTTTGCCTCTACTTCAAAATGGTCAAGTTTCAGAATACTTTCAGCAGCTACCTTGCATTTTTAACTCAGTATCTTCTGCTTTTGTTTCTTTCAATAAAACCCCTTTGTATTATTGACAAAATCTACTTGATTTTATTTTTCCACAGAAAGGTATCTTTAATTAAAATCCCATTTTCTATCCAAAGAAGAGGAAGCAGAATAATCCTGGAAAGAAAATTTTTACCCTCTAGAATCGTAGAACTGTAGAATCACAGACTGTTTTGGATTGGTAGGAACATTAAAGCTCATCCAGTTCCAACCCCCTGCCATGGGCAGGGACACCTTCTACTAGACCAGGTTGCTCCAACCTGGCTTTGAATGCATAAAATCTCTACTCTGGAGTGTCGCCTGTAATGGTGATAGATACTGGTGTACAAAGCAATGGTTGGGTTGGTTTTGGCCATGCTGCCCCCTCCATTAGTGAGGCTTGCTGACACTCAGGGCTGTGCACACCCTGGGTATAGCTCTGCACCAGGGGTGCAATGCAGAGCCACCACCTCCATCACACTCAAATCACTGCCTGGGCCTCCTGGAGGTCCTGTGGGAGCTCAGTGACACCAGACCAGCCAGGAGCATTACCCTTTGTTCTCCCCAGGGTGGAGGAGGGTTCCATCCAGGCCATGTTCATAAAGCCAGCCAAAATCGTCCCTTCTCCTTATGGCTGGGGAAGGAGCTCAGCTGCCAGCACCGGGCATCCTCAGGAAGCAGAGCATGCAGGTGTCTCTCTGGCTGCAAAGGTGAAGGGCACAGGAGTAAGAGTAGGAAGAGGCTGCTGGGTGCAGTGCTGGCTGCTGCCAGCCAGAAGTGCAAACATACACATGGGCTGGAACATGGAACATGGGCTGGCTCCATCACCCTCCCAGTGCTCAGCCTGGTGGGACAGCACCCACCCAGTGCTCAGCCTGGTGGATACCATCCGTGCTTCACCATTGCCCCGGTGCCCCTCTCCTTGCACTCATCTGGAAAGTGCTTTGGGATGGAGGGCACTGGGAGAGGACTGTGTGGCACTGGCTGGTTGTTTGACTTCTGTGCAGCTGAAGAAATTTACAACTGTTGAATTCACAGATTTCTGCTCTCGGAAAAGGATTGGGGGTTTTGATGCTTTTGAGGACCTGAGACCCAGTTCATCCTCCCTGTACCCAGAGTGACTGCCCTAGCACCAGGGGCTCCCTGGCACAGAAGACATTCTCTGGAAGCACAGGAAGACATGGGCCACCAGTAAATCCCCAGCGTAGGGCAGTTCTTCACCTGGACATTTAATATCAGATGCCACCAGATGCCTGGGGCAGCTGCAGAAGGCTGTGCCTTGGAGATCTCTATAACTGCCTGGAGAGGTGTCCTGGGCAAGCAGTTTTCCCTGTGATGGAGGACCTGAGTGGGACAGGTTGAATCATGCAGAATCATAGAATGGTTTGGATTGGAAGGGACCTTAAAGCTCGTCCAGTTCCAACCCCTGCCATGGGCAGGGACCCCTTCCACCAGAGCAGCTTGCTCCAAGCCCCTGTGTCCAACCTGGCCTTGAACACTGCCAGGGATGGGGCAGCCACAGCTTCTCTGGGCACCCTGGGCCAGTGCCTCAGCACCCTCACAGGGAAGAGCTTCTGCCTAAGAGCTCATCTCAGTCTCCCCTTTGGCAGGTTCAAGCCATTCCCCTTGGCCTGTCCCTACAGGCCCTTGTCCCAAGCCCCTCTCCAGCTTTCCTGCAGCCCCTTTAGGCACTGGAGCTGCTCTCAGGTCTCCCCTTGAGGAGCCTTCTCTTGTCCAGGCTGACCCAGCCCAGCTCTCTCAGCCTGGCTCCAGAGCAGAGCTGCTCCAGCCCTCGCAGCAGCTCTGTGGTGATCAGGGTTAGCCTCCAGCATGCTGCCCATCTGAGCAGCCCTCCCCACATGCAAGAGGTGAGGCCTTTCCTCTCACCTAGCCCCTGTGCACCCACGGCCATGGCCAGCAGCAGCCTGCAGCCACTCTTGTCCCTTGCCCGCAGCGGGACACATCAGTGCCAGCACAAGGGGCTGCTGGCAGTGGGAGTGCTTGCAGGGCACATGCATTATACAGGCATGCAGGCACACGTTCCTATCTGTGCACCCTACCACCAGGACTGGCCCTGGTCCATTTTCCTGCCCAGCTGCACGATCCTTAGCAAAACTAAACAACTCCAGTGAAACCAGAGACCTGCTGGTCTTGTTGGTCTTATGTGCAGGAAGGTGTCCCCTGCACTCCAGAGGACATGTCTATGCCAGGAAAACCTCTGCTGGCCCTGGGTTCAGCAGTGATGAGCAGCTCTCAGGCAATATAAGCCCTTCTGTGCAGGTGTTCTGCCTGTGCTGGACTTGATCAGGTCATGGTGAGAGCAAGGCTACAGAAAGGTGATTTTTTCAGCTGAACTGTCGCAGCTCAGAGCCGCCAGCTGTGGCCTGTGCTTGGAAACATTTTCCTTTTCCCCTCAAGGGAGGAAAGCTGTCTTCACTGCTCCAAGCTCTGCAAGAGGTGGAGAGCTCTGTGATCCCCACCACGTGAGCCTGGTCCCTCCCTGAGCCTGGGCCAGTGCCACTCACCCTGGGGAAGCCACATAC